CTCTGCCTCCCAAGTGCTGGGATTAAAGGTGTGCACCACCACACCTGACAAGGCATTTGATTTTTATCCCATAGCTCAAGTACAACTGTTGATGGTTCAAAATGGAGTGACATGATGATGTATGAGAGAGAGAGAGAGAGAGAGAGAGAGAGAGAGAGAGAGAGAGAGAGAATGAGAATGAGAATGAATCTGTTGCTGGGAATTAAACCCAAAACCTTGTGCATACTAGGCATAGTCTACTACTCAACTACACCCTAGCCTGATGTTGTTGCAGTTTTGCAGTTGACTCTAGGAGAGGAGTTAAATTCAGACCTTCGGAGAAACTTTTCAGTTATGTATGTTCAAGTCAGCTAGCTCTTGAGTGTCATCAAAGGCAGTGATGCTGTTTGGCTGTTTTCCAGGATCTTAGGCATTTTGTTTTGTCAAACAGTTCCTATTCTAGGATTAGGTACATACTAACTCTTTACTTGACCCACTGAGAACATTCTGTCTTTCATTGACATATTCTGTCAGTTCATTGACATGGTGACCACCAAATCTATTAGGAGAAATAGCATGAAAGTAAGAGAGACTATTTTGGGGGAAGTAGGGTACCAACAAGTATTTTTTTTTCACAATGAAGCACTTCGTATGCTAATTAAAAAATAATTTCTAAAAGAGAAAAATAGATACCGGCTATGGTAAGAACAATAGCATTACCAGGATCATAATATCCCAATGGCAGTGGTACTCAACCAGGTAAGAAGACGCCCAAAGACTACAATAATATTCTAGGCTCATGACACAAGAGTTGATGATAATACCCCCAACTGGCATCATCACACTCTATGAATTGCCTGATCAATTCACTGATGAATGGGAACAAAGATTGGTGGTTTTCCACTAATGAGTTAAAACTCAGACTTACACTCTTGGTTTTATAGCCCTTATCATTTAAAAAAAAAAAAAACTTTTAAAGTTGATTACGTATTGGATAAAGTTCAGAGCTAGATTTGAATGTCTACCTCTGTTGCTAAACTGTATAATCATTAGGTAAATATCCTAGCCCCTCAAAATTCACTTTTCCATGTGTTTAATGGAGATGGTAATACCATCCTATAGTACTGTGAAAATTTAAGATATATGAAATGACAGGAGTTGGGAAGACATGATAATGGAATGTAAACTTAACCTGGTGGTTATGGCTTTATCCAGACATACACTACACAGCATCCTGCTGTTAGTTAGCTGCACTCTACAGGAGATTATGAGACCCCAAAGTCCAGGCAAGGGTCTCATAAACATCTCATTACAGCTGCACATTCATGCACATGTTGCCTTTTATATCAACATTTTGGTTCTGAATATTCCATGTTTACTCAAATCCCTCCTTCTCCAATTCCTAGAAACACCCCCCACCCCCGTTCCCAAAATTTCATGGTTAAGTGCATAAAATTAACATAAGATATCCCTCCTGTCCATAAAAATTCAACTCCCCAGCTGAGTTGCCTACTTTGCTCTCCCTTTTAGGAGTATGCTTTCACTTTTGCTTCAATAACACTGTCCCTATTTTATGTGCCCATCCTTGAGTTCCTTCTCTGATGAGATCAAGAGTTTTGGGGACTCCTGAATCCAGTGACAAACAACATGTTCTTAGAATATAGGCTCTTTGGGCCATGTTTACCCCCCTAAATCGTCACTCCTTGTCCACTTCTGTTTATGACTTAACATCCTCAGACTAAGAGATTAAAAAAAAAGGAGGGGGCGCTGGAGAGATGGCTCAGTGGTTAAGAACACTGGATGTTCTTGCAGAAGACCCGGGTTCGAATCCCAGCACCCACATGGCAGCGAACAACTGTTCATAACTCCAGTTCCAGGGGTTCTGACAGCCCCTTCTGACTTCCGCGGGCATTGCACAACACTGGTGCACTTACCTACATGCAGGCAATACATGAATACACAAAAAATAAATAAAAATTTTTAAAAAACCATTTGGAATGTATTACCTTAGCAGACCACCAGCTTCCATCAACCAAAAACTTGAATGTCATAGAATAGCACCTATGGACTATAACTGAGATTTTTCTTCTGCTATGAATGTTTACTTAATGTTTCTACCAGTGTATTTGAGAAGTGTTAACAATTTATGACTTTGTTTTGTTACTGTATGATCTTTGTAAAACTGCTTCCATGCTGGAACATGGAATTTGGGGTAGTCTGATTCTGTGTTCCTAGGCCATGGTCACTCTTATCTGGCTCCAGAATAAACTATTTCTTATCCCCTTTAAAAATTAAAATAGCATATCAGATTCAATATGTATTCCCCATATATACTTTGGATGTGGACCCATCCACTAGAATGTGTGATTTATTATTTTGATGAAAATATTAAAATAATGAACTTTGTAAAGGAAAAAAAAAAGAATATAGGTTCTTTTACATTAGCTTGTCTTCCTGATTTTCTTCTGTTGGAGATTATCCTGGGAATTTGCTTTTCCAAAACCAAGGTTGTTTTCTGTTTATAAAGGATGGAATAGTCTCTACTACTCCCATCTTCCTTGAATCAAAAAATTTTCCCATTGCATTCCCACTTATACACATCTGGCATTTGGGTAATGCAAAAATGTATGGAAGTGTCCAGGCACAGTGGTGCAGTCCTTTAATCCCAGGACTAAGAGGCAGAGGCTTAGATAATGCTTAGGTAACAGAAGATATATAGGAGACTGTAATTGTAGCTCAGGGGTAGAACATTTGCCCCATATATGCAAAACCTTGGGTTCAATCCCTAGCACTGTAAAATTCATTCTTCTAAAATAAGGTTGACACACCTTCTCTGACTCTTCCTCCAATCTTTAACAGGACTTCATTGACTTAACTAAAGAAACAAGAACGAGGACAAAAGACCACAACGGACTCTGTGTGATTGACCTGACGAGAAGTGAGGAAGAAAATCGACCTGTTGCCACTCTTGATTTGACTTTAGAACCTGTCACTTCCTCCCAGAAGGAACCAAACAATCTTCAGACATGTACCAGCTTTTCAGGCAAAGAGATGATGGAAGCCCACATAGACAGAAGTTCTCGGCCGACACAGAGAATCATTAACAGTGATCCTGTAGATTTAGATTTGTTGGAAGAAACCATGTTTGAAGGTCGTCAACTTACATCTATCAGTCAGGACTCTGTATACCCACCAGAGCCAAACTGTAGCTCAACCACATACAAAGGTGACCTCAGCTTCTTGGCAAGTCTACAGCTCTCATCAGATGTTAGTTCCTTCTCTCCAACAAGCAATAATGGTAGCAGCAGCAATCAGAGGACACCTTTTCCATGCTCCCGACAAGATGTGCCTTGCCAACCACAAGGCTTGCCATGCCCTCTACAAGCTTTACCATACCCACTAAGAGTTTCACCATGTCCACCACGAGCCTCCTCATGCCCACCACGAGCCTTGTCATGCCCATCACAAACTGTGCAGTGCCAAATCCAAGCTTTGCCTCATCCACCTCAAGAAGTGCCATGCTGTCCTCAAGATGTGCCATACCCGCAACAGGATATGCCAAGCACACCTCAAGACTTACTGTGGCATCCTCATCATCCACTGAATCCACCCCAAGACCCTCTGGGTATACCTCAAAATGTACCAGGCCAACCTCAGACCATATCACAGCCACAAGATGTGGTACACCTGCAAGATGTGCCACAGTCACTGAGAGATGTACCACCATCACTGGGAGATGTGCCACCATCACTGGGAGATGTGCCACCATCACTGGGAGATGTGCCACTGTCCCTGAGAGATGTGCCACTGTCACTGGGAGATGTGCTGCAGTCTCCAGAAGATGTGCCACAGTTACTAGGTGTGATGCAGTCATCAGGCAATGTGACACAGTCACCAGGAGATATGATGCAATCACCAAGAGGTATGACACAGTCAGCAGATGTGCTGCAGCCACCAAGAGTTGTGCTGCGGTCACCAGACATACTTCGGTCATCAGGAGGTATGATGCAGTCACCAGGAGATATGCCACAGACACCTGGCAATGCATTGCAGTCACCAGGCAATATGTCACAGTCCCTGGGAGGTTTGCCGCACTTACCAGATGTGCCACACTCACCACAAAGCTTGTTGCCCTTAACAGGAGACAGACCCATGTCTCCCCTGGATGAAGTACAGAATTGTGACACTCCTATGGATACCTTGGCTCCATCCTCTCCAAGTTGCCCCCCTAGCCCACAGTCTCCACAGTCTGAAATTTCCTTAGAGAAAGTTCCCTGGCTTTCTGTCACAGAAACCCCAGCCAGAAAAGAAAAGACACTGCCAGAACATGGCAACCTAGGGTCTGCCCAGCTACAAGCACAAATACCACAAGTGGGAGTATACAACAGACCTTGCCTGCATAGACTGAAATACTTCTTACGACCTCCAGTACATCATCTCTTCTTCCAGACACTAATACCGGATAAAGACACACGAGAGGTAGGCTTACATACTTCCTTTGGAAATTATGTGTCCTTTCCATATGCCCTGAATAAAGTTACTATAAACAAGTCCATGCATTAGAGAACAGACCAAATACAAATGAAAATTTTAACATCAATTGTGGAGAGACCCAGATATGGTGTCAAATTGCAACCCCACACTTAAAAACTAGCTCTGAACAGGCCACTTTCCTTTGTGAGCCTTGGCCTGCTTACCTGTAAAATGAAAGTAAAAATCGTACCTCACAGGGCCACTAAGTGAGATTCTGCATGGAAAGTGCATGTTGGTATCTGATTATCATAGGCCTTCATCAAAATCTTGCCTTCCATTCATCCTTTCTCTTCCTGATGACCATATAGCTCCCATATCACAGAGAATAATACTCTTGTCACTTCAGTACCTCCAAAACTTTTACTCAGAATTTGGGAGTAGAAATTCAATTTTAAGGGACTGGAGAGATAGCCCAGTGGTTAAGAGCACTAGCTGCTCTTTCAGAGGACCCAGATTCGATTCCCAGCACCCACATGGCAGCTAGCAACCATTCATAACTCCTTTGGGAATCTGACGCCCAGTTCCAGGGCCCTCTTCTGACCTCCTTTGGCACTGCATGACACAGGTGCACTTATATACAGGCAGTACACTTGTACAGATAAAATTTTTTTCAGTTTTAAAAACTTCAATTTTAAGACTTTAGTGGGAGTACTATTTCCCATTGAACATCATTGACCTATGAGAAATAAAATTACATGTATATGGACAAAAAGTTTGTTACAGTCTCACAATATGAAACCTTTTTTTATTGTTACCCAAAACCTCATCCTCAACCTTAAGTAAATTAATTTAAAGCAGTTGAAAAAGTCAGAAGGTAGACCGGTAAGGTGCTCAGTGGGTAAAGGCACTTGCTGCCAATCCTGAGTTCAATGCCTGGGACCTACATGGTGGAAGGAAAGAACCAATTCCCACAAGTTATTCTCTCACCTCCACATGTATACTGTGGCTAGATAGATAGATAGATAGATAGATAGATAGATAGATAGATACTAAATGAATAAATAAAATGTAAGTTTTAAAAGTCAAAGGCATGCACCTTTAATCCCAGCATTCTGGAGGCAGAGGCATGTAGATCTCTGAGTATGAGGCTAGCCTGGTCTACAGAGGGAGTTCCAGGCCAGCCAGGGCTGTGTGGTAAGACCCTGTCTCAAAACAACAGAAAAAAGAATATCTGACCACTAGCTCAGATTCTTTTTTTCCTGTGGGTTAGCCTCAGGTTGGTGAAGAGTCTATCCATTACCAAATCTACTCTTAGATGACTTGAGAGTTTATTATAAGTTTCCATATTTAAAGCTATGATGCTTTGGTAGAGGTACTGCACCAGTGAGGAAGCTGTCCCCCATCTATGTCTATGAGCACATAGCTCAGACTATAAATTGACAGTTCAGCTAAATAAAGTGGATTTAGCCTGGGTGTGGTGGCAAATACCTTTAATCCCCACACTTTGGAGGCAGAGTCAGGCCAATCTCTGTGAGAATGAGACTAGCCTGGTCAACATAGTTCCTGGCCCAATTTATATAGTGGATTTTTCTTCATCTTTCCTTCTTTACCTTATTAAAGAATCCAAGCCATTTTAGAATATATCTGTAAATCAAATATGTCTCTTCTGATTTATTTTAGGCTTTCAGTAAATACTTCTTCACTAGGTCATTTTCCTCCAGAACTTCTTCATCTTGGTCTCCACTGTTGCTGCTTTTCAGCCGTTGGCCTAATTCTTCTGAATTCCTATCTGTTTAGCTTCCTAAAGAGTTATAACTCTAGGGCTGGAGAGGTGGCTCAGTGGTTAAGAGCACTAGTTGTTCTTGCAGAAAACTTGGGTTCAAATCCCAACACCCACATAGGGTCTAACAACCATCCATAACTCCAGTTCCAGGGGATCTGACATCCTCTTCTGTCTTCAGTGGGCACCGTACAACACAGGTACACTTATATACATGCAGATGTAACACTCATACACATAAAAATAAATTTTAAAAATGTTTTTTAAAAGTTATAACTCAAATATCATAGAGTTGTTTGTCTAAAAAGTAAACACATGTAATCACTTTTCAGAGCCTGTCGTAGAGCTTTTTACATACGTGTTTGGGGGCTGGGGATGTAGCTTAGTGGTAGAACATTTGCCTGGCATGTTCAGGGCTCTAGGTTCAATATCCAACACCACAAATAAAATAAGTGTTCCTTTAGATATACAAGTATCAAAACAATTTGTATTTCTGTTTATAGATGTCCTTGTTTGTAGGCAAAAAGTGAATACAGGTTTACAGCTGTGAAGTCACCAAAGCAAGATTTGTGCTCTTGCCTTGTCTTACTCTTAATTCTCATTTATTACATTACATAATAATGATAGGTAAAAATGTTGGAGAGAGTGTGCGGTGGAGAGCATGAGCAGATGGATGAGGCACCGAGGCACAGATGAAATTCTCAGCGGGATACAGCTTTATTTCGCACGGGGCACCTTTCCCTTGGGGAAGGGAAAGATGTCAGCCCATGGGTTGTGAGCTGGGACTTTATATATGGGGGCCTTAGGGTGTGGAAGGGGGGAATGTTTGGGGAGAAATCAGGGAGGGGGAAGCAGGAAAAGCAGGTAGGATTAGGGTCTGGAAGTGTTTACTTTTTCCCTCTTAAGATAAGAGAAAAACAGCTTTTAAAATCTCTGGTTATCAGGTAGAATCTGCTTATCCTATCTTTGGAGGTCAGAGGAAAGGCAGGCTGCTTCTCAGCAGAGTTTGTTTCTCTTGACTTCAAAGGTCAAGGTGCTTATCAGCTAAGTTCCCTTTTTCGGGCTCCAAAGTCTGTAGGTCCTTGTTGGGGAGGGGAGAAGCTGCTGCTGTTTGGAACCCTAACAAATAAATATCTCATCAATGAGTTCAGGGGAAATCTGCAGATGACTTTAGACATAAGAAAAGCCTGTGGGCCAAATGTAGTAACTCCTTTACTCCCAGCAGTTGGCAGGCAGAGGCAGATGAGTCATTGTGAGTTCGAGGCTAGCCTGGGCCACATAGTGAGACCCTGTCTCAAAAACAAGAGAAGAAAAAATGCCTACTGCTCTTTTCTCCAGAAGATTTTCTAGAAGGAAATTCCAGCCATCATTATCTTATTTATTAACCTGTGCCTTCAGATTTTTGTTGTTGTTAGCTATTTAAAAATTCATGCTGTAGGGCCAGGTGTGGTGGCACACACCTTTAATCCCAGCACTGGGGAGACAGGGGCAGGCAGATCTCTGTGAGTTCAAGGCCAGCCTGGTCTACATAGGGAGTTCCAGGCCAGCTGCACTTGAAACCCTGTCTCAAAAAAAAAAAAAAAAAAAACTAAAAAAAATTTTTTTTAATTAAAAAATAAAAATTCATGCTGTGTGGCTCAGCAGTTAATTACAGTGGCTACTTTTGTAGAGGACTCAGGTTTGATTCCCAGCACCCACGTGGCAGCCAGCAACCATCCATAACTTCAGTTCCAGGGGATCTAGTGCCCTCTTCTGACCTTTGCAGGCATTGCACAACACAGGTACAGTTACCAGCCTACATGCAAGCAATACACTTATACACATAAAACAAAAGTAGTAAGTATTTTTTAAAAAATTCATGCTGTACTGTGACTGGAAGAGATGACTTTGTGGTTAAGAGCACTGGCTGCTCTTGCAGAGGACCTGAGTTTGATTCCCAGCACCCATTTGGCCGCTAACCAACTTTCTTAATTCCAGTTCCAGGGCATCCAGTGCCCTCTTTTGGCTTCTGTGGACATTACGCATATGGGTGCACTTAAAAATATAGGCAAAACACTCATACACACAAAATAAATAAATAAGTGTACTTTAAAAGTAATGCTGTGTAATAGTAAGATAGTTCAGTAGATAAAGACACCACTCAAGTCTGGCAACCTGAGTTCAATTCCCAGAACTCACATAAAAGGGGAAGGAGAGGACCCAAGTCCACAAAATTGCCCTCTGACCTCCACATACACACAGTAATACATTTAAAAAATTAAAAACCACCTTCCCCAATATTAAGGGAACATCTCAGAAGAGGAGGCAGAAAGAATGTAAGAGCTGGAAGATGGGAAGGAGTACTCTGAAATGCTGTCTTCTGGACATGACATGGCCCTTCAACATATGAATTCACAGTAAGCTGTGGTTACTTTCACAAAATCTGCACAAGATCATGCCAGTTAAAAATTTCAATATGGATGGGGATGGCACTACTGAGGGCCACCTCCAGCAGAGGATGGCTACTGGGAGAGAATCATTTTTCTTTGTGAGGTGGCCACTGATAGGTTGTTCATGCCCCAGTGAATACCCCACACCCATGCACATATGGGCAGCACTAACTGAATTTAGTGGGTTAAAAGAAATAACTAAAAATAAATATGAGCACTTGTTTTCTCATTTAAAAATAGTACTTGTGAGACTGGAGAGATGGCTCAGTGGTTGAGCACACTGCTCTTCCAGAGGACCCAGGTTCAATTCCCAGCACCCATTTGGCAGCTAACAACCGTCCTCAATTCCAGTTCCAGGGGATCTGATGCCCTCTTCTGACCTCCTTGAGCATTGCATGGCACAGTTGTACTTACATGTGTTCAGGCAATATACTCATATACATAAAATAAAAATAATAAAACATTTCAGGGCTGGAGAGATGGCTCAGTGGTTAAGAGCACCGGCTGCTCTTTCAGAGGACCTGGGTTTGATTCCCAGCACCCACATGGAGGCTAACAACCATCCATAACTCCAGTTCCAGGGGAACTGATTCTATGGGCATGCATGACACAGGTGCACTTACACAAATGTAGGCAGTACAGTTATACACATAAAATAAAAATAATAAAAATATTTTTAAAACATTTAAAAATAGTTTAGCTGGGCATAGTAGCACAAGCCTTTAGTCCCAGCCCTTGGGAGGCAGAGGTAAGTGGATCTCTGTGAGTTCGAGGCCAGCTGGGGCTACAGGGAGACCCTATCTCAAAAAGACAAAAACAAAAGTAGTTATAAAATATTTTTAAATATTTTTAAAATCATTATGATGCTATCAGTGTTTATTATTGATTACTTATTATCTATTTTTATTTCCTTGCCAGTTGCCATTTTATGTGATCAATTTGATTTTTTTTAATAACTGGGAATTTTTAATATATATTTATGTTGGTTTTGCTCTTTATAAAAAGTAAGGGTTGGGGGCTGGAGAGATGGCTCAGCAGTTAAGAACACTGCTTTTGCAGAGGACCCCAGTTCAATTCCCAGCACCCAAATGGCAGCTAACAACTGTCCATAACTCCAGTCCCAGGGATCTGACAGTCTCTTCTGTCCTCCACGGGCATTGCATGACGTGGGTGCACTTACCTACATGCAGGCAATACATTCATACACATAAAATAAAAATAATAAAAAAAAATTTTTAAGTAAGGGTTGGGCTAGAGAGATGGCTCAGCAGTTAAAAGCACTGACTACTCTTGCAGAGGACCAGGGTTCTATTCCTAGCACCCACACAGCATCTAACAACTGTTCGTAACTCCAGTTCCAGGAGTTCTGATGACCTCTTCTGATATCCGCAAGCATTGCACAACACGGGTGCACTTAAACATATGCAGGAAATACACTCATACACAGAAAATAAAATTAATAAGTAAAATATTTAATAATAATAATAATAAATAAAAAGTAAAGGTTAAAAGCCAGGCATGGTGATGCATGCCTGTAATCCTAGTACTTGGGAACTGGAGGCAGGAAAATCAAGAGTTCAAGGCCAGTTTTTACTATACACATGGTGAATCCAGACCAGCCTAGGCTACATAATACCCTGTCAAAAAGAAAGGAGGGAGGGAGGGAGGGAGGGAGGCAAGGAGGCAGGGATGGATGGAGGGAGGGAGGGAGGAAGAGAAGAAGGAAGGCAAGAAGGCAGGAAAGCAGGGAAGGAGGGAAAATGGGATTCATTCTAACAACACAGCACAGCATTAAGTCTTCTTTCTGTATTTCAGTATGTGATATGCCTTTATAACTACACCTAAATCTCTTAGGCCAGTAATCCTAGCACTTGGAAAGGTAGAGGCAGGAGGATCAGGAATCCAAAGCCACTCTCAGGCTGGCTGTTGGCTCTATAGTATTTTCCTTTCTGTATTATATTTTAACATAGAGGAAATCATGTTGTATGTAGAATTTAAAATTCTTATCTTTTAACATCCCTTTGTCATTAATAGTTTTTTAAATGTAGCTTTCTTGTCTCTAATTATAACATATTTCAAATCTGTGCTCACTTTGGCAGTACATGTACTAAAATTGGAACTATACAGAGATTAGCATGGCCCCTGTGTAAGGATGACCCTCAAATTTGTGAAATATTACATTTTACTAAAACCATTTATTGGCTTCTATTTTTATGTATATGAGTGTATTGCCTGCTTGTATTTAAGTGCACCCGAGTTGCAAAATGCCTATGGAGATCAGAAGAAGGCATCAGATCCCCTGAAACTGGAGTTAATGGACGATTGTTAGCTGTCATGTAGGTGCTGGGAACCGAACCCAGGTCCTCTGCAAGAACAGCTATCAGTCTTAACCACTGAACCATATCTCTAGCCCCTATATTCCATATTTTTTAATAATAAAAACAAATAAATTTAAAATTGGGAATACATAGAAATTTTGCTGTCTTAAACCTCTTGCTTCTAGGTAGTGTAGAATACATCCTAATTCTATCTTTTTATTTCCACAGAGCAAGGGTCAAAAATTAGAACCCATCCCTCATCGAAGACTAAGAATGGTTACAAACACCATTGAAGAAAACTTTCCTTTGGGAACACTGCAGTTTTTGATGGACTTTGTTTCACCCCAGCATTACCCACCCAGAGAAATTGTGGCTCACATCATCCAGAAGATCCTGCTCAGTGGCTCTGAGACTGTGGTTGTCCTTAAGGAGGCATACATGCTTCTGATGAAAATTCAACAGTACGGACCACAACTGTTGACCAAGTCTTCTAGAGAACCTGGACGCAGGGCACAACTTTCCCTTTTCTAAGTTTTATTCAGCTGACTATTAGGAAGGGTTTCTGAATAGTGTTTATTGCAAGTGGCAGGAAACCCAAACAAAACTGGCTTCAGCTGCTGGTAAAAGAATTTAATGACTTATGTTACTAGAAACCTAGACATAAGAAACGAATTGAGAAGCCAGATATGGTGGCACACACCTTTAACCCCTGCACTCAGGAGGGGTTTGTGAGTTTGAACTTTGTGAGTTCAAGGCCAGCCTGGTCTACAAAGCAAGTTCCAGGCCAGCTGGGGCTACAACAAGACCCTATCTCAAAAAGACTAAAAATTTTAAAAATGTGATTTGATCCTATGTTCATAAATGGTTACCAGGATCCATTTTTCAGCTCTGATTTGGTTTTTCTTCAGCTTTATACTTTTATGATATCCTGAGTTAGAAAATCTACTTCAATGATAATGGTAATGATACTCATACATACTCTTGTATAAACAAGAGTTCTGAAATTGAATCTTATAAGATATAATGAGATATGAGCCCATTTTGAAGATAACTGCAGTGAATTGAAGGGTAGACTATTGTAATTAGCTCAACAAATCATATGTTTCATAGAATAGTAGATGAAGCTAGTTGACTAAGCACTACCCTCAGACTGACAGAGTATGTATGGTACTGGAGGGTGGACCAGAGTACTCAAGACAAGAAAAGACTTTTTCTCCTATCATCTTCCAGATCCTATTCCTTCTTGCACTAAATTCTCCAGAATTCTAATTGATGTCATTTGACTTTCAGGCTGCATCCAGCCAACGCCAAGACCGTGGAGTGGGACTGGAAACTGCTCACCTATGTCATGGAGGAAGAGGTAACATAAAAATTATGAAGTGATATCTTTTGCAGGGGAAGTTTAAACTACAAAGAAAAGTAGCAAAAAAAATTGTTAGTAAAGTCTATGCCATTATTCCTTGCAGATGGTACCACCCTACCAAACAAATGCTATTAAAATGGTACGTGCTGTGTCCCAACTCAGATCTCAAATATTAACATATTCATTTCTCTTCTTCCTCTCTTCTCCTTTTCTTTCTTTTTTCATCTTTTTTTGGTGTGTGTGTGTGTGTGTGTGTGTGTGTGTGTGTGTGTGTATGCATGCTAAAACCTGGAAATGAATTTCCTTTCCTTCTTGATATTCTATTAAAAATATTAATAAAAGGCAGTAGGAGAGATGGCTTAGCTGCTAAGAGCACTGGCTGCCCTTGCAGAGGACCTACGTATGGTTCCAAGCACCCACATGGTGGCTAACAACTGTCCATAGCTCTAGTTCCAGGGGATCTGACATCCTCTTCTGACTCCCATGGGCATTACACACATGGTGCACTTAGATAAATGCATATAAAACATACATACACATAAAATAAAAAAATAATAAAATTAGTATTTCTTTTTGAAGTATAGTGATGTAGCTCAGTAGTAGAGTACTTGCCTAGCATGTATGAGGATCTGAATTCAATCCCCGGTACTACAACTAAATATTAAAATGCTAGTAAATAAATGGAAAAAGTTATAAATCCATATATATGAAAATAAACAGAAGGATAATAGATATGAATAAAGATTTAGGAGATCTAAGGAAAGCAGAAAAGTGATGAATAATGAAACCTGACAGAGAAAGCCATGGGTTACAAATACATATAGAAGAGGCCATAGTTAAGGAGCAAGGAAATCTTCCCATTAGTGCATCAAAGAGGTTTTCAACTCAGAAATGCAATATATATGTGCTAAAAAGGAAGGGTCCAGGGCCGAGCGTGGTGGTGCATGCCTTTAATCCCAGCAGAGAGGAGAGGCAGAGGCAGAGGCAGGTGGATCTCTGTGAGTTTGAGGACAGCCTGGTCTACATAATGAGTTCCAGGCCAGCTGGGGCTACAGGGAGACCCTGTCTCAAAAAGACCACTAGATGATAGATAGATGATAGATAGATAGATGGTAGAGATGATTGATGATAGATAGATAGATGATAGATAGATAGATAGATAGATAGATAGATAGATAGATAGATAGATAGATAGATAGATAGATAGATAGATAGATAGATAGATAGATAGATAGATAGATAGATAGATAGATAGATAGATAGATAGATAGATAGATAGATAGATAGATAGATAGATGATTGATAGATAGATAGATAGATAGATAGATAGATAGATAGATGATAGTCAGATAGATAGATTAGATTAGGTTAGATTAGATTAGATTTGATAGATTTGATAGATTAGATAGATAGATAGATAGATAGATAGATAGATAGATAGATAGATAGATGATGATAGATGATAGATAGATAGATAGATAGACAGACAGACAGATAGATTGATAGAGATAGATAGATAGATAGATAGATAGAAGATAGATAGATGATAGATTAGATTGATGATAGATAGATAGTAGATAGATGGTCATAGATAGATAGATAGACAGATAGATAGATAGATAGATAGATAGATAGATAGATAGATAGATAGATAGATAGATAAATAGATAAAAATAGTCTAGTGTGGGCTGTAAATGGTATCTGTTGAAAGTCTTTACATAGAACAGTCAACTACTACATTAAAGATTGGCATGGATAACTGTATACCAAAAAATTTAGTAATAGAAGAAATGGATAAATTCCTAGACATGTACACCTTTACCAAGAATGAACCATGAAAAAATATAAAAACACCACCTCCTGTGGTTGGATATGAAGACTTTGTCCCCAGCTTGTGGACTTAGTCACTAAAAGGTAATCACGATTGGATCAGGAAGGCTCTTAGTCCATTCATGGTTCATAGTTGATGGCATATACGAGGTGGGGCCTGGTTGGAGGAAGAAGGATACTAAGGCATTCTGTGTTGTTCCTTTGAAGAATGGATCTTGTCCTGTGATCCCTGTAAGTCTCTGTTTCCTGGACACCATGAGATAACTCTCTTCCTTGTCTTTTGGCCATGGTATTTCTGCCCTGTCAAGGACCTAAAAGCCATGAAGTAAGCCAAATTTGGACCAAAACTCTTGAAATGGAATCAGAATAAATCTCCTTTAAATTGTTCTGTCAGGTATTTGTCACACTAATAAAAAATCTAACACACCGCCCATCAGATTGGCCTTTTATTTTTCCTTCTGGTACTGGGAATTCAGCCTAAGCCTCATTTACAGTAATTAAGCACTCTACCACTCACTTACATCCCCCAGCTATAAAATTGGTCTCTGTTTAAAAGATAAACAAAAAAATTAATAGAAAATAAGTGTTGTCAAGGATATGGTGAAATTGAAATCCTGTATGCTCTTGGAGGTACAGCTGCTTAAATAACAGTTTTGCAGTGCCTTTAAAAATGTCTTTAAAAATTAAAGTTAAAAATTAAAATTTAAAAATTAAATGCCTTTAAAAATGAATTAGCCAGGAGTGGTGGCACATGCCTTTAATCCCAGCACTTGGGAGGCTGAGGCAGGCGGATCTCTGTGAGTTCAAGGCCAGCCTGGTCTACATAGTGAGTTCCAGGACAGCTGGGGCTACAGGGAGATCCTGTCTCAAAAAAACCAAAAAAAAATTAACGAATTTGGGGAGCCAGGTGTGGTGGTACACACCTTTAGTCCCAGCATTCAGGAGGCAGAGGCAGACAGATCTCTTGAGTTCAAGGCCAGCCTGGTCTACATAGTGAGTTCCATGCCAGCCGGGTCTACAGGGAGATCTTGTCTCAAAAAAAAAAACAAAAACAAAAACAAAAACAAAAATTAAATAAATATAAAATAAAGTTTAAAAATTCTAATTAGATCTTTTTAATAAGCAAATTATCTTTTGTTAAAGATGTATTTACTTTTAAAATTTATACAGGGCTGGAGAGATGGATCAGCGATTAGGAGCACTGGCTGCTCTTACAGAAGACCTGGGTTCAATCCCTAGTACCCATATGGCAGTTAACAACCGTCCATAACTCCAGTCCAGGGGATCAGATTTCTTCTTCTGTCCTCTGCAAGCACTGCACAACATGGGTGTACTTAACATGCATGCAGGAAATACACTCATATACATAAAATAAAATAATAAATATTTTTAAAATGTATCTGTGTGTGTGTGTGTGTGTGTGTGTGTGTGTGTGTGTGTATGCCTGTGTAAGATTATGCCTCCTGTGGAGGCAAAGGGCATCAGATCCCCTGGAACTGGAGTTACAGGCAGTTGAAAGCCGCCTAATGTGGGTGCTTCGAATTGAACCCAGATCCTCTGCAAGAGCAGTACTTGTTCTCAACCACTGATCCATCTCTCCAGCCCCTAAGCAGCTTATCTTTAATCCCTAGAAGCAACAACAAAACATAGCAACAACATCCCATAGATCTGGGATCTTAGTGAATGTGATCATTTTAGCAGTTCCTCTATTTTTCTGTTAGAATGTGACTTAGAATACCTACTCTCTTCCACAAATCTCTTTTAGGTACGGACAGACTTGCTGATTGATTACATTTTAATCTCTTAGTTATGACAGCCCAATGCTTACTGTCATTCGGGAGACTGAGAAGACTCACTTCTTATTCCTTCTTCCACAGGGACGAACTCTGCCTGGGCGGGTCCTTTTTCTGCGCTATGTAGTACAGACCCTGGAAGATGACTTCCAGCAGATCTTGAGGAGACAGCGGCAGCACCTACAGCAGTCCATTGCAAACACTGTTCTGTCCTGTGACAAGCAGCCCCACAATGTCAGGTAATCAGCTACCAGAGCTCTGGCATAACAAGAGAGGGACTGTAGTGTGCAACTAAGAAGGCCAGTGTGTTCATCAGTTTCTTAGCACTGTGACCAACTGAGTGAGAAAGACAGATTAAGGAAAGGATTATTTTAGCTCACTGTTTCAGAGGTTTCAGCCTATTATGGCAGGAGCAGAGCTATTCAACTCTTGGCAGCTAGGAAACAAAATAGAACAGTAAAAGGAAGGAGGCCGAAGCAAGATAGAGCCCCAAGGACATATTCCCAGTGATCTACTTTTCCAACTAGAGCCCCTTCCACAGTTCTACTGTCTCTCAATAGTCTCTTCAGATTTTGAATTCATCGTTAGATTAGACCATTCATTAGATCAGCGCTCTCATGATTGTGAGAACTAATTTTCTCTGGCGTGTCCTCACAGTGTGTGCTTTACTACTCTCCTAGGCTGTCCATCTCCCAAGGTGACCATAGGGAATGAGACTTTTCTCCCCACTTAATATGGTAAATAGGATAAATACTAAAACTCTGGAGTATCATAAAAGAAACCGCTCTGCACTAACAACATGGCAGACAGAAGAGATCTTTCCCTCAAGACTGTCATACTTCTACTAGCCTAACTATTTCAGTATTGTCTAAAACAGTTTTGTGTTAATATTCAAAGGAAAACCTTGACATGTATAAAACTTTTCATCATTTTATAAATCTAGATTATGTCTACCCTCCTGATTCATTTTCAGCTCATTTTTTTTCTACTAGTTTCTGAAAAGTAACCTGGTGATAGGTCATACAGCTGAAAACCAGGTTCAGTAGGTAGCAACAAGTGTTTTTGTCTTCCATTTTGGTTAGTTGTTTGTTTGCTGTAGTATCAGCTTATTGTAGATTCAGAGTTGTGAAATGACTGTATACAAAAAAAAAAAATTACGTAATTTTTATAGCATAAGGGGAAAGGTGCTTTCCAGAGTAGGGATCCCAGACTGGAACTTTCCTTGTGGAACTTTATCCTTTGCTTTTTTTCGAAATGATTCTCACTAAAAAATTTTCTAGCATTGCTATTTTTCACAGTAGCATTGAATTTTGGGGTTGGTTTTGTTTTATGTTGTGTTGTGTTGTGTGTTGTTTTGGATTTGTTTTGTTTTGTTTTGTTTGAGACAGGGTCTCCCTATAGGCCAGGTTGCCCTCAATCTTCCAGAGATCTACCTGCCTCCTGAGTGCTGAGATTAAAGGCCTGTACAACTATGCCCAGCTGCATTGAAAATCTTTTAATCTTAGTTATGTTTCCATATGTGCTTACATATTTGTTGAGAATATGTAAGGCCACTATAGGTATTGACTATTACAACTCCTCTACTAAAGAAGGAGGAAATGAACTGGCAAAATAGTTCAGCAGGTAAGTAGCTTGCCATCTGGTTCGATTCCTAGAATCTATATAAAGGTGAAAGGAGAGAACAGACTCCACAAAGTTGTCCTCTGACTTCCAGACATGTGCTATGGCACACATGAACATGCACACACATTTATACACACACAATAATAATAATAAATTGAGGAAGGTTGTTGTTTTTGAGACAGAGCCTAACTATGTGGTTCTGGCTGACCTGGAACTCGCCATGTAGACCAGGCTGACCTCCAATTCACAGCGATCAACCTGCCTCTACCCACCACATCAGGCCAAATAAATAATTTTTTTAAAGGAGGAAGTTTTGTTACTATTTTAGGCATTGATTAGCTTTCCCCTCTTAGTTTGCATGGCTTTTTATGCAGAGTTTAAATGTTAATAATTGTAGGGATAGAAAACCTTAACTTTCAACTTGACTAGATTAAGAAACACCAAGATTATTAGTAAAACATACCTCTGGGTATGTCTGTGAGGAAGTTTCCAAAGACAGATCATGACGGCATTACGTAATGCATGATGCATTACGGAGAGGTAGTAAAAAGTAGGAGGTGGGACCAGTTGGAGGAAGTAGGTCACTGGAATGTATTCTTGGGGCTCTTATCTCACATGTCCTCTTCCTCTATTTCCTTTTTCTTTGCTTCCTGTCTGTCATGATGTGAAATGCTCTGCTCTACCATGCTTCCCTACCACAGTGGACTCATACCTCTGAAACCACAAGCCAAAAATACATCCTTCCTCCTTTTTCAGTTTTTCTCTCTGGTATTGTGGTCACAGTAAAACAAAAGTAACTGGCACAATCAGTATGTAGAGAATCTACAGAAAAGCTTAGGACAGTCTAGTTACATTTTAAAGTAAGAATAATTTAAATAATGGAAGAAACTCTGTCTACCACTACACTTGGTAAGTGTAGGTGTGGCAGCTAGTGTGAGGCAAAGACATGAACCCACATTCTCACACTTGTCTTCATTCTGACTCTTGAGGTCTGAACCTTTCACTATGTAGAGTGTAATTCTTGGGGGGCTTTGTTGCCGTAATTTTTGTTTTTAGTTTGTTTTAGACAGGATCTCACTCTGTAGCTCAGGCTGACCTCAAATTTGCTGCAATCCTCCTGCCTCAGCTGAGTGCTGGAATTCAAGCATGTGCTCCATGCCTGGTTTTTCTTGATTTTCTACTGGCTGTTGTCATTTATTGACTTCCCACATGAACTGTGAGGAGTAGCTCATTTTTGTTTCCATCACTCCCCTCATACACACATACACACACACACACATTTCCTAGCCTCTATATAATTAATATAGTTGCGTCAGAATTTTAAATTAGTATTCAGTGTCTAGTGCTATAACTGTATTAGTTAACTTTCTTGTCAGTGGGACAGAGACAACAGATGAAAGATTTATTTTGGCTTATAGTTTCAGACGGTTCAGACCGTGATTGTTTGGCCTCATGCATTTGGACAGAACATCATGGTGGCCAGTGTGTATGGAAGAACTTCTTCACCTTGTGGAGAACTGGAAGCAAGGAGAGAAGAGGGGACCAAAAATGAGTAAAACCTTCAAAGGTGCCCTGGGACCAACTTCTGCCAGCTAGGCCCCACCTCCTAAAGTTTGCTTTACCTCCCATAATAGTCTCCCCCAACCCCTGTTGGAGACCACACATTCAACACATAAGCCTGTGGGGAACATTTCATATTCAGACCATAACAGTCACTGTGTTTGCAGACCAGAGTTTAGCAGTGTATTATGACTATTTATTAATCACATCGTTGCGGGGGGTTGAAAAAGGGTCTCCCTGTAGCCCCAGCTGTCCTAGAACTCACTATGTAGACCAGGTTAGCCTAGATCTCACAGAGATCTGCCTGCCTTTGCCTCCCAAGTCCTAGGATTAGGGGGGAATGTATCACCATGCCCAGCAGATAGTCACATCTTTTCCCCAGTTTGTCATTCATATCTTTTTCTTTCTTCTTTTCCTTTTCTTCATTCCTATCTTTTGATTTCCCTAGAGTTAATAATTATTTTTGGTTTCCTTGTTCATATCAGAAAATTTGTGCTAATTGACTGTAATCTGCCATCGAAATGTTTATTCACATGAGAAGTTGTACTGATTTCTTCTCCTTGGGCTGAGGATATAGCTTAGTGGTCGAGCATGTGTCTAGCATGCTCAAGACCTCAGGTTCATTCTTCACTACAACAAACCGGGCAAAATTCTTCTTGAAGAACAGAGTTGAGCATCGCAACATCTTCTGTCTGGGTTGGTTGTCCTCCTTGCCAGTATGATAAATTTAATATTCACCTACTTCCAAATTAGACCTCTATTTGTCCTGTGTCTTTTTCCTCCTCACTCCTTTCTTTTAAGTTTTGTTCTTTTTTGGGGGGGGGTGTTTTTCTATTTGTTTTGTTGTTTTGGTTGTGTTGTTGTTATTGTTGCTCAGGCTGGCTTAGAACTCCTAGGCTCATATAGTCTTTCTGCATCAGCCTCCTGTGTAGCTGAGATCACAGATGTGGATCACCTCTCCCAGATTACTCGCTTGTTTTGATGAATTAGATACTGGTAGCTTCCTAAGAAGATTATGTGGAAAATAAAGTTTTTGAGATCTTGTATATGTGAAAATGTCTTTTTTATCCCATATATTGACTGATAAGTAGACTAGGTATAGATATTTAGTTCAGAAATAATTTTTGAACAGAACTTTGAAGGAAGTTATAAGCTATTTTGAAAAGTTCTCTGTACTTGTTGTAGGTCTGTAGTCATGCATTTTGATCAGCATCCCATAAGCCATTTTAGGGTGGAAAAAATAATCTTCGGTTTCTGGAAAATAGGATTTTTCATTGTTTTCCAGGAGCCCCCCCTCCACCCCAACTATTCCTTGTTAAAATTAGAAAATAATATTCTGTTCTTTTTTCATGAACCCACATATCTCATATCTTCAGTGATACCAAGTTTTTGGGTTTGTGTATTCTCTGATATTGTGTATAACATCTGTTTTCTACCAGTTAGTTGCCTTTAGGGAGGGAGTGTTAGTTATATTGGTCTCTGACTCTTACATTAGAAGCTTTCCCAGTTACCTGATAAACCTGATATCCATTTTTAAAGGTGAGAAAACTAAAATGTTATGGAAGTTGTGGGAACATGGGGGGGTTGTCATCTCTGACTTCCCGGTAATAGAACTGGCTTCCTGTTTTCTAGAAAATCTTCCATGTCAGAGTTTTCAGGGGGATGTTACTGTTTTTTTGTTTGTTTGTTTGTTCGTTCATTTGTTTCATGGTACTAGAATTTAACCTAAGGCCTCACACATGCTCACACACTCTACACTGACCTATAACTCCAGGCCTGTTTTATTTTTCCTTTTGAGACAGGGTTGCACTAGGTTTACTAAGCTCACCTTGAACCTGCTGTGTAACCCAAACAAGCCTTGAACTAGGATCCTCTATAGTAGGATAATATATAATCCCAGATAGCTAGGGTTCTAGGCCTGTACCACCAAACCTGGCTTCACTTCCTTCTCCTTAGGCCATTTCTGTTTTTCAGAGACTTCCGGTCTTCTATATGAAAGATAAAGGCAGGTGCGGGAAGATGACAGAGGTGTCTGCATTCAACATTCTGTGTCTTATTTAGTGCCCCTATTAATTTCAGTGCCTTTACCTCCACAGTGCATCTGATATCCCAGTCTAGAGACCCTCTCTTTACCTCTCTACAAAGGAAACCACAGAACTGGGGAAGAAGACCTAGGGTTCTAGAAATAGCTGGAACAGAGATCAAGCCATCCTGTTTATGTTAACTTACCCCCTTTCACCCTTGCTTCAAAGAAACCTAGTGCTGTCATTTTTCCCCTCTTTGTTTCAGTCTCCCTTTTTTAAAAATATTTTATCATTTTTTAATTTTATTTTATGTATATGTGTGTATTGCCTGCATGTAGGTAAGTGCACCCGTGTCATGCAATGCCTGTAGAGGTCAGAAGAGGGTGTTAGATCTCCTAAAACTGGAATTAAGGATGATTATTAGCTGCCATGTAGGTATGGGAATGATCTTCTTAACTGCTGAGTCATCTTCCTAACTCAGATCCCCTGGAACTGGAGTTATGGACAGTTGTTAGCTGCTAAGTGGGTGCTGGGATTCAAACCCAGGTCTTCTGCAAGGACAGCCAGTGTTCTTAACCACTTAGCCATCTCTCCAGCCCCTCAGTCTATCTTTTTTATGTGTGATAGATTAGTTCAGTTAAATCAGTTAAAGTTTATCTCTTTGCCAAAGTCACAGACTTGGGTTAAACATCCTTAAAACATGACACACTTGCCTTACTTGCTTAGTTAATTGGTTACATTTAATTTTATAGTCAGCATCTCTTAACCTACCCACCCAACCATTGACTAAGACCTTGACAGTTACCTATGTCTGAACCACACATCTAGCCCCTATCACCCACCTTCACCTCCCTGACCCTGAATATTTGTCATTTTATTTCTTTTTGTCTATGTAATTTTGTAGCATATGCATGTGATCTTATAAAGTATATATTTTAAGTCCTGGTCCTTATATTAAAAAGCATCATGCTTTAATTTATTGAGGCTTTTTTCACTTAATATTTTATAGTATAAGATTTATCCATATTATTGCTTATCACTGCAGCTTATTAATTTTGACTAATGTGTAATGTTACATAGTAGTGAATATCCCTCACTTGCCTGCCACTTTCAAACTTTCACTGTTGTTCACTGCTGTTGCCTCTCCTCTTCCTTGCAAATATTTTAAAATTTTATTTACTCTAGTAACTAGAATGGTTTTAGGAAGGAACAAATTAAGCATGTGTATTCAGTATGCCATTTTTGTCTTGGTTTCTTAAGTAATTGTTCTAGTTAGCTTTTATTGCTGTGATAAAACACTGACCAAAACCAACTTGGGGAGGAAAGAGTTTATTTGACTTACAGCAATCCATCATCAAGGGAAGCCAAGGCAGGAACTCAGAGCAGGAAACTGGAGCACAGACCATGGAGGTATGCTGCTTACTAACTTGGCCTGAGCTCAGCCTGCTTTCTTAAACAACACGAGACCATATATAAGGGGTGGCCCTGGCCACAGTGGGCTGGGCCCTCCCATAGCACACAACAATCAAGAAAGTGCTCCAAAGACATGGCCACAGGCAAACCCAATGGAGAGAATTCCTCGATTGAGAGTCCCTCTGCCCAGGTGTTGACAACTAAAGCTATCCAGCACAGTAATCATCAAAAAAAAAACTTTTTTATTTTTTTGGTCCTTTTGAGACAGGGTCTCCCTGTAGCCACAGCTACCCTGGAACTTGCTATGTAGACTAGCCAGGCTAGCCTCAATCTCACAGAGATCCACCTGCCTTTGCCTCCCAAGGGCTAGAATTAGACAGGCTCAAAATAAATTTTTTTGATTCTTCAGTTTATTGCATATAGGAGTTACTCTAGTCCAAGTTAAAATCAGCTTAAATGATTCCATTATACAAGCTGTGAGGTTTGTAAACTTGTGACAAGGGACAGAAGGGAAATGCTCATTGCAAGGAAATCCTCACTTAAGCTTCAGAGAGCCACAAGCACTTAAAACTTATGAACTGATCATCCTCAGCCAGTCCAGTCTCTATCAGGAACTGATATGTGTCTTTGTACTGGTCACCCTGCAGCTGAATTCCTTTCTCCATATTCTGGATGCTCAATTACAGTACCATTGTAAGGAGAATTCTTCTTTAATATCTTCACTGATTCCCTTTTATCGTAATCATCAGCAATTCCTTGGACAGTAGTAAGGGTCTTCCTGCTATTTCTCTGTTGAATTCTTTTTTGAGGGAGTGGGTATTTTTGAGACAGGGTCTCCCTGTAGCCCCAGCTGGCCTGGAACTCCCTATGTAGACCAGGCTGGCCTTGAACTCAGAAATCTGCCTACCTCTACCTCCCAAGTGCTGGGATTAAAGGCATGTGCCACCACACCCGGCTTCTCTGTTGAATTCTATGGGTAGAACCCACAGTACCAGCAGGAAGCAGGTCATCCCTTGCGTCAGCAAAGGGATCAAAAGAGTGGAAGTTCTGGATAGCAGACATGATATGATTCCATTTTCTCAGTGGAAACAGCCTGTAAAAGAGGGCTACAGGAGAAGGGGTGGGGGGCACAACATGGAGTGCAGGGAAGCAAGTGGGTGCGAGGGAGCAGCAGCCGAGTCCTCAGAGGTGGCTCAGTAACTGGGACCATCAAAATAATTTTTAAATATATGAGATATTTTTACTTTACTAACTTATATAGAGCCTAAGCCCTATATGAAGCCCTCCATTGCATATCCTCCAAAACCTTAGTTATCATCATTAATAGAAGACACATGAAAAAGAGGCCTATGCTAGGTGTAGTGGTACACACCTTTAATCCTAGCGCTTGGGAGGCAGAGGCAGGTGGATCTCTGTGAGTTTTAGGCCAGCCTGGTCTACATAGTGAGTTTCAGGCCAGCTAGGGCTATAGGGAGAGCCTGTCTCAAAAAAAAAAAAAAAAAAGAAAGAAAGAAAACAGAGCTGCAAGACTGACATTGTCAGCTAGCTCATCTTCCCACCTGATTAGGTAGGTAATGTTCCTGGTTAGAAAGCCACAGATAGTGTTCTTTGACTCCAGAGGTGCTTTACAGTAATTATAATTTATGTGGTTACTTTTGGTTGTTCAGTTGATTGGATTAAGAGAAACCTAGGAGATTATTAACACACATCTCTGGGTAGTCTGTGGTGGTATTCCCAGAGACAATTAGATCATGAGAGCTCTGACCTAATGAATGTGTTAATTCCTTAATGAATTCACAATATGCTGACATTATTAGGAGATAGTGGAAAATAAGAGATAGGGCCTAGCTGGGGGAGGTAGGTCACTTGGGGGCCTGTCCTGAGGATTATAGCTCCTATACTCTCCCTTAAGTTGTTTCTGTCAGGCATTTGGTCACAGCAATGGTAAAAATTAACATATAACTTCCTAGAAAAATGTTGTATGCTGAAGTGGTACAAGTACTTGCCTTGTAAGTGAAGTGAAGTGGTAGAGTACTTGCCTAACAGCATAAGGCCTTCAGTTCAATCCCCAGTACTACAAAAGAAGAAAAGGAAAGAAAATGAAAAAAAGAAAGAAAAATGTTGATATTTTAGTTAGCTTGTATAACCATGATGCAATTAAATGTGTGATTTTCATTAGGCTTGTTTAAATATTGAAAAAAACTAAGGGCCCCTTTGTTGCCTTTGGAGAAATCTAGTGGTCTGGGATCACAGATTAAATATGCAGTTCTGAGCACCATAAGCATTAAAAGAAGCTTAAATCTTCTCTTCTTTTCATTCCAGAGATGTTATCAAGTGGCTGGTCAGAGCAGTAACTGAAAATGAATTAACTGAGCCCCAAAATGGGAATCAGACCTTTTCAGGAACAGGAATCTTGAAAACCAACAGTGGTCATCTGTCTCCCCAACCTAACCTGACCAAGAACACCAATCAGCTGTAAGGAAAACAAAGTTGTCTTTCCAGGGCTATGAGGATTTAGTGTTTTAGAGAATAGGTCCAGTATAAAGAGCAGCTTCCCCCAAATTACCACATGCTCATAACATAGACTAATTCTAATTAAAGACTCACAGACCGGGAATATAACTCAATAGTAGAATGTTTTTTAATAGTAGAATTCTTTCCTAGCATGCATATGGACCTGGATTTGATCTCCAATGCTGCAAAATAAAACAAAGCAAAAATCATGCAAAGAACCCCATACCTTAGTTTAAAGGCCACATTTCTAATTCTAGTGGCAGAAAAGCCAAAAGGCAATAAAAGGTTATAACTCCTCATCACTTCAGCTATCCATACTGGCATAGAGGCATAGTAAGTAGGGGGCATTCTCACAACTTCTAGTCAGCAGGAGCTTCTCTAGAAGACAGCCAATTCAACTTGTAGATTCTAACACGTATGACAGGAATGGTTCAGGCCAGGCCAGGTCCCATCAGCAGACTGCACTGGAAACATGTATAACATTTCCTTTATAGAACTGAGAGCAGTCCTGGCATTTCCTGAGAACTGTCACAGTTTTAGAGGCTGGGGCTGCCCTTAAGTAAATAGGCTGGGACTACGTCAGTCACATTAATAAAAGCTCCTCACATTTGACATTTCAAATGTAACATTTGTGTCTAAATTCACAATACTATGTTATATTGTATTTGCATCAGCTTGATTTTCATATTAGGCTTATCTTGTCCCTTAAGGGGAACTGTTTGAGAGATTTATTTGTTTTGGTGTATTGGAGAAGATTCTAAAGTGAAACTGTCCCAGAGACCCTGTGTACATTCCCAAGAGGGAGGCCCACGTGGTTCCTTCAATGGAAATCAATTTCATTAATCATTATCTTAATGCATTTATTATAACTATTGGTAGAAATACAGCAGAGGCTCCTAAAACTTGATGATATCATGAGCTTGTCAACAGTTACTATAGGTGCTACCATTTTCAAATGCTACCCTGTCGGATGCACTACTCATCACTCCAGCTTTACAAAATAGGTGCCATTCTCCCTTTCAGTCAGCGAGAAGGGCAGTTGCTACAGATCCTCACTAATAAGCCTGCTCTTTCGAGTTCCAGTTCAGAAAGTATAACTCTTTTCCCTCTTTCTGGCCCCCTTTTGTGGATACTAACCAAAACCCTAAGTCTGTGTTGTTGCCTGACACTCCAGGCATTTTACTCCCTATGGAGACACCCCCACTCTATGTGGCTGTTTGCAGATTTCCATTACTGAGCCTGCCTGCTTTCCTGACTTCTAACTCCAAAAGCACAACTTCTTATCTATCTCCTTCCTTCAGCTACCAAGATCTCCAGTTCACCTGTCCTGTTGGGTTTTTTCCCACAAACTCCAAAAAAATGATCCTTAAATTTTTTTTTTTCAAGTAGGAATTGGAGAGATGGCTCAGCAGTTAAGAGAACTGCAGCTGGGTTCAGTTCCCAACACCCACATAGCAGCTAACAACTGTCCTTAACTCCAGTTCCAGGGAATCTGACTCCCTCTTCTGGCCTCTGTGGGCAATGTACAACACAGGTGCATTTACATACATGCACGTAAAACATTCATACACACAAAAAAATAGCAGGCTGGAGAGACGGCTCATCAGTTAAGAGCACTGGCTGTTCTTGCAGAAGACCCAAGTTTGAATCCCAGCACCCACATGGCAGCTAACAACCATCTGTAACTCCAGTTCCAGGGGATGTGACACCCACTTCTGTCCTCTGAGGGCACTGCATGACACAGATGCACTTACACACATGCAAGCATAACACTTATACACATAAAATAAAAATTGATAAAAAATAAATGAAAAAAAAATTTAAATAGATGAGAAGATTTGGACAAAGCAATTTAGTAATTTATTGTAGAGCCAGAATCATAAATAATATGTCAGAAAAGGCTAGTATCAAGCCAGGCTCATCCTTCTGAAGTGTTGACCAGATTCCCAGTGCCATGTCAGGTCCGTTTTCCCCAGTATGCAGGTCTGATGAGAGAGAAGGTCAGGGTCCACCAGTGGTAGAAAAATTACAAGGCAAATAATACATATTTTCTCTTGTATCAAAGAAATTAAAATAATGTTAGTCACTTGGGCCTCTTAGCAACATACTCCATTCGAAAGGCCAAAAATGTCAAAAGTATTTGGGAGCTTTTATCTAATCCTTAAAAGATTTTAGGGTTACCTCTTCAGAAGGGGGGATGTTGGAGTAGCAAAAAAACCCATTAAAAAAAAGAAGAGTACATGAAGTTAGCAGAAAATAGTGATGGGGAGATATGGGAGAAGTTGGGGGGTGGGGGAGTGGGCATGGATTTGATCAAATGCCTTATATACATGTATTAAATTCTTAATAAATTATTTCTTTAAAAGTTACAGATGTTCCTTAAGTTCTGTAGACCCCATTAAGAGTCTGTGGTTCTCTTTTTTAACTTAAAAGCAATTTGCTTATGCAGCTCACTTCCAGGTTCTAAAAGGTTTCAGAAATGATCTGCCAAATGGATTAAATTGCTCAATGAAAGCAGTCAGTCTGATGAGCTTGAGTAGCTCTCTTGACCTGGTATGTACTTTGCAAGGTCCTCTAACAGTCTCTGTTCTTGGTATACACTGGTGGGGACCTCCTCCAGCCACAGGAGGCCTCTTGCCATGTCTTCCCACTCACTGTATCCTGTGTTCTGGATCCAGGATTGTGTGTCAACTTCAGAGGATGTTGTCCATAGCCGTAGAGGTGGACAGGACTCCTACCTGCAGCTCCAATAAAATAGCTGAGATGATGTTTGGGTTTGTGCTGGACATTCCTGAGAGGAGTCAGAGGTGAGTGCAGTGCTGTTGTGGTCGCTGTTGTTGTCATTATTGCTTGAGGGGAAGGTTAGTTGTACACACCTTTAATCCCAGTTCTCAGGGGAGGCAGGTAGATCTCTGTGAGTTCCAGACCAACCTGGTCTACACAGGGAGTAAGAATAAACGATGAAGTAAGGAAAAACTGCTGTTTGGCAGCTATCATAATAACAATTAGTTCAGTCCTGAATACCCAAAGTATAAACACCACAGTTTCCCTTCAGAGGATACATGGTTACAAATCAAAACCAAGGCACTGGAGAGATGGCTCAGTGGTTAAGAGCACTGGCTGTTCTTGTAGAGGACTTGGGTTTGATTCCTAGCACCCACATGGAGGCTAACAATTGTCCATAACTCCAGTTCCAGGGACTCCAACACCTCTTTTGACCTCTGCAGGAATTACACAACATGAGTACACTTTCAAAAACAGGCAATACATTCATACACATAAAATGAAAAAAAAAATTCAAAAAGGGGGGATACTGGAGAGATGTCAGCAGCTAAGAGCACTGACTGCTCTTGCAGAGGACCTGGGTCAATTCCCAGCACCCACATGGGAGCTACATACCGTCCTTAACTCCAGAATCCAAAGCCCTCTTCTGACCTCTGTGTCATTTCACGACACAGGTGCACTCGCATACATGCAGGCAATACACTCTTACACATAAAATAAAAATAATATATATTTTTTTAAAAAAATAAATAAATGCTTCAGAGTTTACCCAATGACTAAAAAGAATAAAAGGAATTTTCTATTATTTTACATCTCCGCTTGGCTTTTTAGCTTTTTTATTAAAATTTCTTTTGAATTTGATTGTAGAGTCCCATGGTTGGATGAAATAGAAAAAGATCCCATGTATGTTGTGCAGTATTGTGGATCAATCCCACTGTCTTGTGTGTGCCTAACAAGCACTCTAACCATTGAGCTACATCCCAGCCCCTATTTTTGTGCAGCAGGACCTCACTATGTAGTCCAGTCTGATCTTGAATCCATGGTCCTCCTGCTTAGCCTCTGGAGTATTGGGATTGCAGTGTGCACCACTGTGTCATCCCATATGCTTTATCCAGGTTTCCCTAGTGCAGACCTACTGCAAAACTGTAGTACAGCATCACAGCCAACATATCCAAGGTGCATTTCCAGTCCTTAAAGGACCACTCATGTTGCACTTGGATGGATAGTCCTACCTACTTCCCTTCCATGCCTACTTTCTCCTAACCACTTGGTAACCACTAATCCCTTCCATTCTTGTAATTTTGACCTTTTTAAAAATATTTTATTTATTATTTTTATGTGTATGCATGTACTGCCTGCATGTATGTCAGTGCACTCATATCATGCAGTGGCTTGGGAGGTCAGAAGAGGGCGTCAGATCTCCCAGAACTGGTGTTAGGGACAGCTACAGTTAGCTGCCATGTGGGTGCTGGGATTTGAACCCCAGTCTTCTGCAAGAATCACTAGTGTTCTTAACCACTGAGCCATCATCTCTCCAGCCCCTGTAATTTTTCCTTTTCAAAATTGCTATATTATGGAATCATACAGGATGTAACCTTTAGGGATTGGCTATTTTGGGGTTTTTTTGTCTTTTTTTTTTTTTAAGACAGGGTCTCCCTGTTGCCCTTGCTGTCCTGGAACTCACTATGTAGACCAGGCTGGCCTCGGAACTCACAAAGATCAGCCTGCCTCTGCCTCCCAAGTGCTGGAATCAAAGGTGTGCACCACCATACCCGGCTTGTTTTTGTCTTTTTGAGACAGGGTCTCCCTGTAGCCCCAGCTGGCCTAGAACTCACTATGTAGACTAGGCTAGACTTGAACTCACAGAGATCCACCTGGCTCTGCTTCCTGAATGCTGGGATTAAAGGTATGCACCACCATGCCTGGCAGGGATTGGCTGTTTTTTTTTTTTTTTTACTCAATGTGGGTCTCTAGAGATTCATCTGAGTTGTGTGTATCAACAGTTCATTACTTTTTCTTGATCAGCAGTGTTCCATGGCAAGATGGATCACAGTTTTTCTTTTTTTAATTTCTTTTTAGTTTATGTGTATAAGCGTTATACCTGCATGTATATAAGTGTACCCATTTTGTGTAATGCCTGCTGCGGACAGAAGACAGCATCAGATCCCCTGGAACTGGAGTTTCAGACAGTTGTTAGCTGCCATGTGGGTGCTGGGACTCAAACCTGGGTCTTCTGTAAGAGCAGCCATTGCTCTTAGCTGCTGACATCTCTCCAGTACCCCCCCCTTTTTGAAATTTTTTTCATTTTATGTGTATGAGTGTATTGCCTGCATTTTTGGAAGTGCACTCATGTTGTGTAATTCCTGCAGAGGTCAAAAGAAGGTGTTGGAGTCCCTGGAACTGGAGTTATGGACAGTTGTTAGCCTCCATGTGGGTGCTAGGAATCAAACCCAAGTCCTCTACAAGAACAGCCAGTGCTCTTAACCACTGAGCCATCTCTCCAGTGCCTTGGTTTTGATTTGTAACCATTTATCCTCTGAAGGGAAACTGTGGTGTTATACTTTGGGTATACTATGAATAAAGTCTGGTATAAGTATTCATGTCCAAAGTTTTGTATGAACATAAATTTTCGTTTCTCTAGAATAAGTGCCTAAGAATTGACTTTTTAGCTTTTTTCATTAAATACTTGTATCATTAATGTTCCAATTTTAGTTCCCTAAGAAATTACTAAGTTATTTCTCAGAGTAGCTATATTATCTCCATTCTGCCATCTCTGAGTGGTACAGTTTCTCTGGATCTTGGCTAGGATTTGGTGTGGTCCCTGGTTTTTTGTTTGTTTTTTTTTATTTTAGCCATTCTGATTGGTGTGTTGTGATCTTCATTACAATTTTGTGTGTGTGTGTGTGTGTGTGTGTGTGTGTGTGTGTGTGGTGTTATATATATGTATGCAGGTATTCTGTGAGCACCAAGGCCAGAGGAGGACTTGGGTATCCTGCTCTGCCACATTCTCCCTTTTTCCCTTGAGAAAGGGTCTGTTACTGAACCTGGAGCTGAGCTAGCAGCCTGTGAGATTCAGCAATCTGCAGCACTGGGGTTATAGGCATTTGTGGCAATGCAGCCTTTTCCATTGGTGCTGGGAATTCAGCAAGCACTCTTACTCACTGAGCCATCTCACCAGCCCCTCATTTATAATTTCTATAACAGTTATTATGCTCATGTGTTTAATTGCCATTTTGTATAGCTTCTTTATTGAAATCTTTTTTCCCATGTTCTAAAGGAATTGCTTTCTTCTGGTGGAGTTTTGAGAAACTATATATTCTAGTTATCTGTCAGATCTGTGTCTTTCAGCTATCTTCTTCTACTCTGTAGTTTGTCTTTTCATCCCTTTAGTAAAGTCTTTCACAGAATAAAACTTTTGATGAAGTACAGCTTCTTGATGTTTCCTTTACAGTATCATGCGCTTGTGCCAAAATCCTTGGTGTGTTTTTTTGCAGACCATCATACCATCTGCAGATAGGGAAAGTTGTATTTCTTCCTTTCTAATCTCTTCATCTTTTATTTCCTTTTTATTTAATTTTTTATTTTATGTATATGAGTGTTATGCCTTCATGTATGTAAGTGCACCCATGTCATGCAATGCCTGCTGAGGTCAGAAGATGGCATCAGATCCCCTGGAACTAGAGTTATGGATGGTTGTTAACTGCCATGTAGGTACTGGGATTCAAACCTGGGTCTTCAGCAAGAGCAGCCAGTGCTCTTAACTACTGAGCCATCTCTCTTGGGTTCATTTCCCAGCACCCACATGGCAGCATCCAACTGTCCTTAACTCCAGTTCCAGGGGAATCTGAAGCCTTCTTCTGACTTCTGCAGCATTGCACGACATGGGTGCACTCACATACATGCAGGCAATGCACTCATGCACATAAAATAAAAATAATAAATAAAATTTTTTTTAAAAAGACTCTCTTATGGACATGGTCAATCTGGACTGAGCAGTTCTTCAGTTGAGATTCCCAAGTGATTTCCTCTTCCCAGGTGATTCCATATTGTGTCAATTTGGTGATAAAAACTAACAGGACAATAATCTACAGAGAAAACTCAATTAATTAATTGTTAATTAATATATCAGCTCACTATGGGTTGTGATGCTGACTGCAAGGTTTTCTGTGGATGTTCATTAATAATTAGCTCAAGTTCCAGCTATTCCTAGTTTTCTGAGTTTTTACTTATTGAGTGCTTTTCCTGAAAAAAAATTTCTGATTAATCTCAGAATTATGATATATATTTTAACTACTTTGAATTAATATTATATTCCTTAATGTATAAAAATATTACCATGGGGTTGGAGAGATAGCTCAGAGGCTGGAGAGATGGCTCAGCAGTTAAGCACACTGGTTGTTCTTGCAGAAGACCCGGGTTCGAATCCCAGCACCCACATGGCAACAACTGTCCGTAACTCCAGTTCCAGGGGATCCGACAGCCTCTTCTGTCCTCCAATGGCATTGTACAACACGGGTGCACTAACCTACATGCAGGCATAACACTCATACACATAAAAATTTTAAAAATAAAATATCTTAAAAAAATAATGTTACCATTATGTGTCTTTCTTCAGACCAAGCTCATCCTTTGTTTTCTTAGATTTGACTTCCACGATATTATAAATGCCAGGATGAAGAGTTAGCTATTTTTGCCTTAAACATTTACTTGCTTTTCAAATAAATGGAAAGATAGAGAGGGCTTTTTTATATTTACCCATGTTTGTCACTTCTAATGCTTTTCCTTCTTTTTTGGCAATCCAAATTCTGTTATTTTTCTCCACCCAAAGAGTTTATATCTTTTAATGTTTCTTGTAGTTTTGTACTTTTGTGTGTGTATGAGAGTGCGTATCTGTATGTTTATGTATAAGAGTGTGTCTATGTATGTGTGTATGTGTATTTCTGTGTCTGTGTGTCTGAGAATCTCTGTGTGGTCTATGCACACGTGTATGTGCATACATGAGTGCATGTGTCCATGCTCTTGCATGAAAGCCAGTGGAGGATGTCAGATGTCCTGTTGTTTGGGGGGTTTTTTCGTTTCTGTGTTTGTGTGTTTCGTTCAGTTTTTATTTGTTTTGCTTTGTTTTGAGACAGGATCTCCCTGTAGCCCCAGCTGGCCTGGAACTCACTATGTAGACCAGGCTGGCCTTGAACTCACAGAGATCTGCCTGCCTCTGCCTCCCAAGTGCTGGGTTTAAAGGTATGAACCACCATGCCCAGCTTAATTTGATTTTTTCAAATGTCAAAGAGTGTTCCCTCATCCTGGAAGTTTTTAATTCATGAATAAATCCATTTCTGCCCTGACGCAGGCACTGTGATTTTGTAGGGCTCCATTGTATTAGAATACACAGGGCACATTGTGCTACATGCTGTTGGAATTGCACTTGTAATACTTAGCTCCTTATTCCTCTTTTCCACACAGGGAGATGTTCTTTACTACCATGGAAAGCCACCTTCTGCGTTGCAAAGTGTTAGAGATCATATTCCTCCACAGCTGTGAGACACCCACCCGCCTGCCATTGTCTCTGGCCCAGGCCCTCTATTTTATGAACAATTCCACATCACTGCTCAAGTGTCAGGTACATTTCTTCCTGCTTCAGTTCCAGGGCCAGAACACTTTCCCTAATCCTGCTGTTTGAGCATCATGTAAAAGAGATTTGGAAACTGTGCCAGAAAAGCACAGTTTAACTGGGAAAAACTTTTTTTTTTTTTGTCTTTTTGAAGCAGGGTCTCCCTGGGAAAAATATTTTTTATCCATTGCTTTTACTATCTCTGCAGTCTGATAAAACCCAGTGGCAGACTTGGGATGAGCTGATTGAGCATCTGCAATTCCTGCTGTCCAGTTATCAACATGTTTTAAGAGGTAAGGAGCACTTACTCACAAGCAGGTACTAAGAGAGGTCTCACAATGGAATTCTCACAGAGAATTCTAATTTATTCACTTAAGTAAAGCATCATTCTAGCCCAGTGTGGTGTCACTGGCCTATAACCCAGCACTCAGGAAGCTGAGGCAGGAGGATGGAGAATTTAGGTCCCTAAAGTCTATGAAAGTGGCACTTCAGAACTAAAATTACAGGTGAAGCCAGTAACCAGTGAGAATCTGGGAGAGTAAGCCCAAGTGACACACAAGAGGCAGATGTTGGAAGGATCATGGTAGAATATTGCATCAAGTGAGAATGATTTTATTAGCCAAGGATATTGAAGAGCTTGGGAGAGCTGAAGAACTGACAAATTATTAATTACAGAAGGCTGGGACTGTTGTTCATTAATAAAGTCCTTGCCTAACATGCATGAAGCCCTGGATGCAGTTCTCAGCACCACATAAACTTGCACTTGGAGAGGGAGGCAGGAGGATCAACAAGGTCAACCTTGAATACTTAGTAAGTTCAAGGCTAGCCTGGGAGATATGAGACTTTGTCAACAAAAAAAGGCACAATCAAATTATTGATTACAAAAGGAAAAGGGAAAGGAAAATAGTAAACTTTTTTTTTAACTAGGATTTGATTTGCTTTGTAGCCCAGGCTGACCTGAACTCAAAATTCTCTTGCCTCAGTCTCCCAGGTGCTAGGGTTATAGGCATACACCACCATGACTACCAAAAAGTGTAACCTAATGAGGAAGAAACATGGCATTTCCCTGGACATGCTGGGCTGAGAGGCGCACAGTCTCACACGTGTAGTGTTCTTGCCAGAAGCTTATGTCCTGGATCTGACCACAAGGAAGCATCAGACAAAACCACACTGAGTAACCATCTCCAAATTAACTCACCAGTGCTTTTTAGTACCAACATCTTTTAAAAAAAGACTAAGATCCCGTTCCAGATTAGAAAGAAGTCAATGCACATGAATACTAAATGAAACACATGGTCCTAGACTGGATTCTAAATTAGAAAAAAGAAGTTATTAGAGGGTTGGGAGTCAGTGATAGAGCACTTTCCTAGCACAGACAAGGCCCTGGGTTCCATTCCTAGTGCTGCAAAAATGAAGGGCACTGTTGGAACAATTGGTGAATTTGAAGAGATTAGCTAATATTGTTAATTGTTTTTAATAACTATACCAGATTATGGTCCAAGTAAGTGTTTTTGATCTTAGAAAATCCATACTGCAATACTGAGCCTGGTGTCTGCAGATTATCCTCAGATAGTAGGGGAGAGATTCTACTTGCCCGTGATCCTGTTAAGATTGACTGTACTTCAGTGTTGACACATGGGAAGTAAGAGAACACTTAGCCCCTCTTAGACCTGGAACTAAGGAAGCTATTGCAAAGATGATTTTTTTTAAATAAATAAATAATAGTACCACATTAACAACTGAAAGTCTGGGTTTAAATCCTAATTCTATCTATTACCTCTATGCTATGTCTCTAGGCCTTTTTTTTTTTTTTTTTTTTTTTTTTTTTGAGACAGGGTCTCACTCTATAACCCAGGCTAGCCTTGAATTCATGAAAGTCCTCCTGCCTTGGTCTCCCAAGTACTAGGTTACGGATGGCTTCCAGGTCTTGGTTTCTTTTCTAGCAAAGAAAAGAAAGTAGTGATAAGACATAACTTTCAAGAATTTATTATTCTTGTATATATAAAAAAAGTATCCAGTTCAGTCTAGGTAGACTATGAAGGTTTTCTGTTTCATACTTGAGGAATGTGGGGGTTATAGTTCTAGAAACTCAACTGGGGTGGGGGATAGAGAGATAGCTCAGCAATTAAGAATACTACCCAGGTTTTTGACTGTCCTTAACTCCAGTTCCAGGGGATCTGATGCTCTCTTCTGACCTCTGATGGCATTGTATGCATGGGTGCACTTACATTCAGACAAAACACTCATACACATAAAATAAAAATAAATTTTTAAAACATTTTTAAGAAAGAAATTGAACCTAGGCCTCATGCATTCCAGGCAAGTGCTTTACCACTAAACTATACTCATAGCCCTTATAACTAAACTTCAAAGATACATCATCAAGACTACAGTATCATAGTTTTAGGCATTTCTTAACACTCTCAAAGAAAGACACATGTTCTTAGAACAAAGCCTGAAAGGCAGATTCTCTGGGAACTTAGTCTCATTGAGGTTACATAACTATTTTGGAGTTCTGACAGAAAGTTTAATATTACAACAGCCTTATTTAAAATTCACCTTTAACACTTGTTAAGTTACTGACCCAGAAAATCTGTCCTGAACTCCCCACCTTGCAGGCGTTTCTACTGTGATGTAGATTCTGGGCTGGCAGGTGAACTAACATTCTCTACAGGAATAAACCCTTACCCAGGAATAAACCCCTACCCTGTATCACAGAGAACTCAAGAATGGGACTCAGCAAAATTAGAAATTGCTTTGTGCCATGGCCTTTTCCTAATCTTAGCAAACAGTCAAAACTTCGTGTTTTAAAAATATGAGTCCTGAGCTGAAGAGATGGCTCAGTGGTTAAGAGCACAGCTGCTCTTGCAGAGGACCCAAGTTTGGTTCCTAGCATCCATATGGCAGCTAACAACCATCTGTAACTCCAGTTCCAGGAGATCTGATGCCCTCTTCCGACCTCTGTGGACATTGCACAACATGAGTACACTTAGATACCTGCAGGCAATACACTCCTACACATAAAATAAAAATAAGCTGGAGAGATGGCTCAGCGGTTAAGAACACTGGTTGTTCTTGCAGAAGACCCAGGTTCGAATCCCAGCACCCACATGGCAGCTAACAACTGTCCGTAACTCCAGTTCCAGGGGATCTGACAGCCTCTTCTGTCCTCCTCATACATTGCACGTCTTGGGTGCATTTACCTACATGCAGGCATAACACTCACACACATAAAATAAAAATAATAAAATATTTTTTAAAAAAAATAAATAAGAGCCCTAGGAACTTAGCTATCTTGACCACCATTTGGCTGGACAGGGTAGGCAAGGCAGCTTCAGAGATCAGTTATCTCAAGGACTCCAATAGCCTTCCTTCAGAGCCCTGCCTGCCACCAACTGAGGGGAGAAAAGCAGGAGCAGGCAGAATTACTTTAGTTCACATACTCACCCAGGCACACATAGCTACAGAATGCTCTCTCTGTGCCTCATTGGGAAATCCTAAGTTAGACCAACATGGCTTCACAGAGTTCAGTGGCCAGTGAGAAGGCCCACCCAACAAGTAATCACACAGAAACAGTTAAATATGGTCAAAGTCAATGCTGCACAATAAAGCAAAGTGTGTGCAACAAGAGGACCTGCTCTTGTTTTAGTGGGGCCCAAAGAGACCTTCCTAAACAATTGACATTTCAGTAAGATAAGACCAGCCATCTTTCAGTATCCAGAAACCGACAAACATGTTATGTTAGCAGCTCTTCTCACTGCTGTGACAAAAGCAACTTAAAGGGTTTATTTTGGGCTCATAGTTTGAGGGTACAGTCCATTATGGTGGGGAAAGCTTGACAGCTGGATATGAGGCCACTGGCTACATTGTATCTGCTATCAGAGAAGCACTGGCTACATTGTGACTGCTGTCAGGGAAGCACTGGTCACATTGTATCTGCCGTCAGGGAAGCACTGGTCACATTGTATCTGAGGTCAGGGAAGCACTGGCTACGTTGTGACTGCTGTCAGGGAAGCACTGGTCACATTGTATCTGCCGTCAGGGAAGCACTGGTCACATTGTATCTGCCGTCAGGGAAGCACTGGTCACATTGTATCTGCCGTCAGGGAAGCACTGGTCACATTGTATCTGCCGTCAGGGAAGCACTGGTCACATTGTATCTGCCGTCAGGGAAGCACTGGTCACATTGTATCTGCCGTCAGGGAAGCACTGGTCACATTGTATCTGCCGTCAGGGAAGCACTGGTCACATTGTATCTGCCGTCAGGGAAGCACTGGTCACATTGTATCTGCCGTCAGGGAAGCACTGGTCACATTGTATCTGCCGTCAGGGAAGCACTGGTCACATTGTATCTGCCGTCAGGGAAGCACTGGTCACATTGTATCTGCCGTCAGGGAAGCACTGGTCACATTGTATCTGCCGTCAGGGAAGCAGAGAGATGAATGCTGGTGCTCAGCTTTCTCTTTTTCTTTTTCTTTTTTTAAAGCAGGGTCTCACTAGCTGGCCTAGAATTCACTATGTAGACCAGGCTGGCCTCAAATTCACAGAGAT